CATGGGCACCTACCTATGTGTGTGTTGTGTGCATGTGTATGTGTGTGCATGTGTGAGTCTGTGTGTGCAACTGTGTGTGCAACTGTGTGTGTTGTGCATGGGCACCTACCTATGTGTGTGTTGTGTGCATGTGTATGTGTGTGTGTGTGTGTGTGTGGAAACTCAACACCACAATGTCAGGAATGGTTATCTTCAAACTTCAGATGTTGGTTCCAATTATCCCCAGAAATCTCCATGTACCCCAAGAACTCTCCATGCACCCCAAGACTGTCCAAGCACCTCCAAGATTCTACAAGGAACCTGGGGCTCTCCAAACCCCCCAGCTCTCTCCTAGCACCCCAAGGCTGTCCAAGCACCTCCAGGGTTCTCCAATTATCCACAGAAATCTCCACGTACCCCAATTGAGCACACCCAGACTTTAATGCCGGCATTTTCCCATGTCACAAGTGGCTTCTAATTCCTGTGTAAAGAACTTGCATTGCTTTTTATTAGGGCTAATTTTCTATTCATCCTATTGCTATCAAATACATTTTATCACGCTTCAAAGAACCTTGTTCCTTAAAGAGATTTTTCATGGCCGGCCAGCCATACCTAGAAAGTCATGGCAGGGAGTCAGAAGTAATTTTTATTTTTTTTATTTTTACTTTTTTCACACAGAGTCTTGCTCTGTCCCCAGGCTAGAGTGCCGTGGCGTCAGCCTCACTCACAGCAACCTCAAACTCCTGGGCTCAGGCGATCCTCCTGCCTCAGCCTCCTCCCGAGTAGCTGGGACTACAGGCATGTGCCACCACGATGCCTGGCTAATTTTTTCTATATAGATTTTTAGTTCTCCAGCTAATTTTTTTCTATTTTTAGTACAGACGGGGTCTCGCTCTTGCTCAGGCTGTTTTCAGGCTCCTGACCTCCAGCGATCCTCCCGCCTCGGCCTCCCAGAGCGCTGGGATGACAGGCATGAGCCACCGCACCCGGCCAGGAAGTACCTTTTAGAAGCTGCTGAGTTCCGTGACGGCAAACACGCCCACCTGCGTGTGCAGAGGCAAAACCGGGCAGGGGTGGGTTTCCCCGGAACACAAACACTCTGGCCCGCCGCGTTCCTGGGGGCGGATGGGGCTCTGGTCCTTAATCGTAGACTGTCTGCACTCACGGCTTTGCAGCTTCCACACTTGGGGTCCCCTGAGGGCAGGTGAGCCTGACTCCGAGGGCGGGAGGCATTTCTTCCCCCATGGGCTGTGGTCTGAACGTCTGTGTCCCCCCGAAATTGCTAAGCTGAAACCCTCACCCCCAAGGAGATGGTGTTGGCAGGTGGGGCCTTTGGGAGGTGATGAGGCCCTGAGGGTGGAGCCTCACGGATGGGATCAGGGTCCTTATAATAAAAGGACAGGCCCGACACCTGCTGCAATGGAACATGGCCCATCCACACAGTGGAATATTATGCAGCCAGGAAAAGGGAGCTTCTTCGTGATACTCCTGCCTCAGCCTCCCGAGTAGCTGGGACTACAGGCATGCGCCACCATGCCTGGCTAATTTTTTCTGTATATATTAGTTGGCCAATTAATTTCTTTCTATTTATAGTAGAGATGGGGTCTTGCTCTTGCTCAGGCTGGTTTCGAACTCCTGATCTCAAGGGACACAGATGTCACCTCCGCTCGCTCACCCTATATTAAATATGTGGGCTGCGCTCTGGCCACTGAAAGGAGAAACAGCACGTGTGTTGGAGCCGCTACGGAGAAAAAGTATAAATACCCGTCAAATGCTCCAAGACAGATGCGATCTCGGCTGGAACCAAGTCAGGGCTTTCCCTGGTCCACGACGACCCCCTTTTACCTGATGACACCTGCAGAGAAAGCCCCTGTGTGCAGAGAAGCTCTTGCTCACAGGTTCCAGGTCGGCGAGGATTCGGGGCGGGCCTTTCAGCCCAGCGCGGTCACGGAAAGGCTACGAGTCTTTTCCCCCCAGAGAGGAGGAGGAAGTCGCAGACAAGACACGCTCGCGAGTCCCGAGGCAGACGGAGCGAGTGCCGGCTTCCCGAAACGCGGCTGAGCAGAGCGGGCGGGCACGCGTGGGGGCCCCCGGGAACGAACCCGCCCGGCCGAAGAACCCGGGAACCAAGGGGGACACAACACGCTCCATCGTGGCCACTGCCGTGCCCCAGACCGCCGGCCGGGAAGCCCCGAGACCCGAGGCCCCCAGGACCCCGGGGGCCGGCTGGGTTCTCTCTGGGAAACTGAGTCGGGCGAGGCCCTCCCCGGCCCGAGGGAGGATCCCACAGGCCGTGACGGGGGTCGGGGCGCGGAGCCCCGGGCTGGTGGAGGGAGGAGTGGGGGTCTGTCCAGGGGAAAAAACGAGGCTGAATTCTGGGTCCCGGGTCCCGCGATGGTGCCGGTCCCGCGGGGAAGGGGCCGGGCAGCCCAGACCTGCAGGACGGACTGGATTCTCTCTCTCTGGACAGCAGAGACGCCACCCTCCCGGGGGCAGAGTTCGAGCGCCCAAAGGATGCCCACGCCCCCGTGCATGTAGCCGTGACTAGGAAGCTCCCCGTGCAAAGGGGGCTTGCACATGGGACTGGCTGCAGAGATCGACGAGCATGGTCTCCGTCTAGAAGAAACCTCGTTGCGTTTTGAACGGGGCGTTGGCTGTCGTCCTTTCTGCAGAGAAGGCCCCATCCGGTCCCGCAGTACGGGCAGCAGGCGTTTGTGCCCGGCTCTGCAGCGTCCTGCAAAAGATCTGCCCACGTCCCAAGTCTCCCTGTGTGGGGCCTCGTTTGGAAACAGGTGCTCTCTGCTAATGTAACGAAGAAACAGATCTGGAGATGAGACCGCCCTGGGTCAGGGAGGGCCCTAAACGCAACGACAGTGCTTTTAAAATAGAGCTTTGAAGAGGAGGAAGGTTGGATAGCACAGCCTGAGAGTGCGGCTGACACCAAGGCAGTGGCCGGAACGAGGACCAAGGGACACAGACGTCACCTCCCCTCGCTCAAGCTCACTGTAGCGTCAGGGGTTAAAGGGCTTCGGGAGGAAAGGAGCGAGGAGGTCGAGCTGAATCTGGCAAGACCCGTTTTCCGTCCCGGGCTCGCTGAACCGCACGAGTGAAACATGTGGCTGCCGCTCTGGCCGCCTTGAAAGGAAGAAACAGCCGGTGCGATTGGAGCCGCCTAGCGGAAAAGTACAATACCCGTCGAGCTCCGAGACAGATGCGTCTCGTCTGGAACAGAGCGCCAAGTCACAGGTGAAAACCATGCGAAAAGGCTGGCGCCGTGGCTCCACGCCTGTCCATCCCTGCACTCCGGACGGGCAAGGGCGGTAGGATCGCTCGAGGTCAGGAGTTCGAACCAGCCTGGCAAGAGTGGACCCCCCCGTCTACTAAAATGAAGAATTAATTGCGACAACTAAAATTTAGAAAAATGAGCCGGGCGTGTGGCAGTGCCTGAGTCCCAGCACTCGGGAAGGGAGGCTGAGGCAGGAGGATCGCGGAGCCAAGGAGTTTGAGGTTTGCTGTTGAGCGGGAGGCTGCGCCACGGCACTCACTCTAGCCTTGGCAGGCAACGAGACTCTTGCTTCAAAATAAATAAGTAAAACGACGTAGAATAACCCGTTTTGGCTGGAGAATTTCTATTTCCAAACTCCGCATCTCTGGTGGGAGCCGAAGGCGATGCAAAGGAGTGAGGCCGGGCGTCTTTTCGAAGAGTTCCGCTCGGTGTCTGGAAAAGAAGAGCAACGCCGGTTCTGGCATTCCGGGACGCCCCTGGTCCCGTTCGCCGCGGCGTCGCCGGGTAGGCAGGGCTTCGCAGTGACGGCCTCGAGCTCAGGACATGGAGCCCGCACGGGCAACACCAGCTCCAGGACGGCCTTCACGCCGGGGCTGCACCGCCCATTGGGGGGGATGATTTAAAAAATCTGAATCTAAAACCCAGAGCCCCGGAGGCCAGGCCCGAGAAGCCGGTCGCCGGAGAGGATCCGGAAATCACCGGGCCGCCTTGTCGGGACCGGGACGCGCGGTTGCCAGCCGGTCCTGCCTCCGGCCCTGGGGGGAGCGGACCCAGGGCAGGTACCTGCGATGGGGTAAAGGAGAAGTGGGAGGTGGAGTGTCAGAGGAAGGAAGGGAAGAGTGACGTACTGCCGCAAACCAGAGCTTACAACGACTGTTCCCTCCCGGTCCCGGAGCGGGTGTGGGACGCGGGTCTCGGGCCGCCGCTCCTCCACGGGCTCGGGGAGCCTCCTTCCGTGCCTCTCCCGGGCTCCGGCTCCAGGCGTCCCCGGGCTTGTGGCCCGCAGCCTCACTCGCTTCTGCCTCCTCGTCTGCTCACGTGGCTCTTCCTCCGGTCTG